CCCACTAAGGAGGGCAGAACTATGCTCATGACCCACCATGATGGCAAAGGCCCTGCCGGCTTATCTCTGCCCAGAGACCACACCACCACACTCTTTAGCTGCTTCCTGTTGAACACGTGGATGTGCTTTCATGGTTCCCTCTCAAAATCTCCCTGAGCCCTCTACCATGGCCTTGCTTCCTGTAGTCCTCACCCAGTAGGATTCCTGGCCTTCAGCCACACCTGTGACCTTGGCTACAATACCCTGGCATGCTCACTCCGGGAACCCCTCTCCACCCTAGGGTGAGCCAGGGCTGCTTCTCAGCAAGCATGTGAATGACATACCATCACATCTGGGGTCTGGCTGTCCTGAGCTGCAGAGTGCTGAGCATCTCTGGAGCCACCACAACCCTGACAGCCAGAAACAGTACCGGACCTGTCCAAATGCTCTGAAAACACCACCACCCAGTGAAGACCCCTACAAAAGCCACTTAAGAGCCCCGAGAGACTAAGTCACACCTCCTGGCGCAGGCCCTGTCTGTACTTTCTGATCAGGCAGAATCTAGTGACAAATAGCTTCAAGGCCACAAGGCTTCTGGAATGGAACCAGGGTGAAGAGCAGGCTCATGGAGCCAAATGGCCCCTGAGAGGACACTGTTGGAGCCAGGGGGAGCCAGGATCATGAGTCCAGGGGGTACTACAGCAAAGGAAGTGATCTCAGAGCTGGCCAGCCCTAGGGAATCTAGCTTGGGATGGATGTGGCTGTAGGTTGTTTCAGAGGCTATTTGACCAGCCTCCAGACTTCTTCACAATGGCCTGGTCTGATCCCAGCCCTGAGCTGCCTGTCATGGGACAGAACCCCAGCCTTAAGGGCTTCCTCTGCTATGCTGGAGGCCATATGCAGACAATGCTTGTCCAGGGTGAGGTATGGGTGGGGACATTGGCCTGGGCCAGCTGGCACACTCAGGGAGAAGGGTTTGAGGCTGCAGCCCTGCTCTGGGCATGGAGCTGGTTTGGGGACTGCATGGGCCATGCTGTGGATGTACTTATCCAGCCAGGACACCAGCTGGGGCTGGGTGGTAGGGGTCAGAGGGAGGACCTTGTATCTGCAACCAGCAGGTCTGAGCTGTAGGTAGCCCTGATGGTGGCACATGTAAGGGAAAAGGTGGCAAATGAGTGAGGTTAGGAGAGCTCAAGTACAGGGCAAGGAGCACACAGTACCACATGACAGGTGCAGGGCAGAACCTGCTTGCACTCCTCCATGCCCCTTCTTCCCACTATCCCACCATGCTGTAACCACCATCTAGCTGGGGAGGATTCAGGAGACAGGTGAGACCCTCACGGGGAGAAGTCTTAGCACCTAGCTCCAGCCTGACCAGAGGCGGGCCTCTCACGTCTACTGTATCCCACCATCCTTTCTGGCTTTGGTAAGGTGACCAGACGTCCCGATTTTAAACAATTTGTCCCGCGTCCTGCGGCGTTTTAAAAAAGTCCCGATTTTTGGAAAGAATGTACAAGCTAGGGAAGGGCGGGTGAATGGGAAGGGAATATATGGTTTTTGGCTGCTGAAAAGGTTAATGTAACTCCATTTGGGAATGAGGAGGTTAATATAACTTCATTTGGAAATGAAAAGGCTAATGTAAACTCCCTACTCCCCTCCTGGGCAAGATGGCCCAGGTGGAATAGGTATCAGAAGGATACTGGCTCCCTCTCTTGCTTCTAGGCAAGGACAATTAGCTCAGAAGGAGCCAAACTGTCTGGAACAAGAACACCCCCCCCCAGGGTCCCTAACCATAAACAGCTCAGCCAATAGCCACCCCCCACCCCCACCCCCCCGCAATGGTGTCCCGCTTTACCAATGTTAAAATCTGGTCACCTTAGGCTTTGGGTTACTCCTTCCTTCCACCCCTTCCCAGGCCTCCTATGGTCCTGACTCCCCACTTAGCCCACGAAGCAGCAATGGTGTACCCCATCTACAGCCCAGCTTCAGCCCCTTGAACTGTTGAGGACCTTGTTGTTAAGGGAATACATGGGCCCTTCCAGTCCCTGAAACACACTGTGGGGGCCCCTAAGGGCTGAGGCTGGTAAGACCCAGTGGTACAAGGACAGGGGTGTGGCCAGCACAGGGCAGATCCACCTTCTGCAGATGACCTTGTCAGTACAAGTAGCCCGAGGGGCTTCAAGCCTTGATGTGGGGCTCTCAGAGAAAGAGAAACGCACTTTAGGAAGGAGCCTAGAAGAAGTGCAGCTAATAAGGCCTGGGATGGGCAATGCCTGTGGCTGCTGGAGTAGGGTGCCAGCCCATATGCTGAGGGTGGTGGGTTCAAACCCAGCCCTGGCCAAAAAACTGCAAAAAAAAAAAAAAAAAAAAGGCCTGGGAAATGCGATCAGATTTTGGAAGGTGGCTCTGAGACCCTGGCCTAAGTAGGACCTAGAAGCAGGGACACATAGAAAGCATTAATGCACAACCAGGTTATCACCCACAGACCAGCTCCCTTGGCTCACAGCTCTGCTCCCGGTTCTATGGGTGTTGTGTGAGCAAAAGTCAGTGTGTGCATCTGAGTTTGTGAGCCCTCCCAGCTGGGACCCTCCCCACAACCAGAAGGCAGAAGAATGTGGCAGACTCAGCCTGCTGGGGTCCTGTCTCAGTTCTGAGTTAGCATTATACCCTGGGGGATGCACTGAGGACTTCTCAACCTTTTCTGAGCTCAGGATGTCCATGAAAATTTGATGAAAATGTCACCTCCTACAGGGCACAGTGGCTCATACCTGTAATCCCAGCACTGTGGGAGGCTGAGGTGGGAGGACTGCTTGATCTCAGGAGTTCAAGGCTTGTCTGAGCAAAAGACCTCGACTCATGAAAAAAATTGAAAAATCCACCTGGGTGCTGCGGCGAGCACCTGTAATCCCAGCAGCTTTGGAAGCTGAGGCAGCAGGATGCAGTGATCTACAATGCTTTTTGCACTCTGCTCAGGGCATAGGGTAGAACTCTGTCTCGATAAAAAAAAAAAAGTCACCTCCTGCCAGAAAAGGCTGTTTTGGAGATTCAGGGCCAGGGCCATCCCCAAACCCCACCTTAGTCTTGCCTGGCTTCCCTGAGTGGCAAGGAATAAAACAGTCTCAGTCCTTGGCTCGGTGCCCATAGCACCCTGGTTACAGCACCAGCCACATACACAGAGGCTGGTGGTTTTGAACCTGGCCAGGGCCAGCTAAGCAATGACAAAAAAATAGCTGGGCGTTGTGGTAGGCACCTGTAGTCCCAGCTACTTGGGAGGCTGAGGCAAGATAATCACTTAAGGGCGGTGCCTGTGGCTCAGTGAGTAGGGCGCCGGCCCCATATACCGAAGGTGGCCCGTTCAAACCTAGCCCCAGCCAAACCACAGCAAAACAAAAAAAGAATAGCTGGGTGCCTTTAGTCCCAGCTACTCAGGAGGCTGAAGCAAGAGAAACACCTAAGCCCAAGAGTTGGAGGTTGCTGTAAGCTGTGACACTACAGTACTCTAGCATTCTACAGAGGGTGACAAAGTAAAACTGTCTCTTAAAGAAAGAAAAAATTGCTTAAGCCCAAGAGTTTAAGGTTGCTGTAAGGGTGACATAGTAAGACTCTGTCTCAAAACAAACAAACAAACCTGTCTTAGTCCTCAGTGGAGGTGACTGGCACCGGGTCTCCTAACATGTGGAGTCCACACACAGCTCCTCCCATTGGCCAGGAGCACCAGTGGCCAGCCTGGGCATCTCCTGAGAACCCCAGGACTCATGCCCAGAATCACAATATACACTTGCCCTGCCACTGCCAACAGGGAGAATGGGGATGACTGAGTCTGGAAACCTGAGCCCACAGCCTAGGCTGGCTAAACACACTCTGTGACAGATCTAGGTCCCTTGGTACCCCAGGTGTCTGACACAGAGGCCCTACCTGTCCTGGCAGAAGCCCCAGCTGGGTGGGAAACAGCAGGTGAGCATAAGGCAGGTGAGTTGGTCAGCAAGAGGATCTTGGGCACACAGTCTAGTGAGGATCAGGTGCAAGCTAAGGTGCTGGAGGGGAATCAGTCTAATTAAATTCAGGGCTGAACATAGAAATCAGGTATGGAGAGGGCGCTTGGCCAGAACACCACAGCATTCATGTCTGGACCACTGCGCTAAGCCTTGAAGGATCACCAGAAATAGGATGGCTGAGCACTGTCCACTTTTTGTAACTTTTTTTTTTTAATTAAAAAAGTTTACAGAGCAGGGGTATCACACAAGATAACACTGGTATGTGGGTAGCCTCACGAGGAACTCCCCCTGGCTGGCCCCAGGGCAGGTAGGTCCCCACCCATCCTGACCTCCCTATGGGCCACATAGTGCCTCTCAGTAGCTGCCAGGCCTGCATCAGGCAAGATGCCTCCAATTCACCCTCTTGACATCAGCTGTGATCATAGCTTGGGCCCTAGGGACACAAATACACACTTTGTCCTCCTCCACATAAAGCCCTCCTTGTTCTCCCTGAAAACTGAATGGGCCTCAACCCTCTGGACTTTTAGGTAGGAGTGAGGGAAGTGGAGCACCCCTAAACCTCAGGGCAAGAACCACCTTAGAGTTCTGAGCTTGGCATCCGATTGGGAGGCACACCTCCATCTAGCAGGTCAGGCAAGGTTATCGAAAAGAGAACACCAAAGTTGCCCAAATCATATGGCCCTCACCTCCTGCATAACTGCAACAGGATGATGTTGATAGAGACACCTGACTCAAGTAGCAGCTGCACAGGAGGGCTCTCGGAGGTCTCCACTTCCTGATTCACCACCAGGAGCTCTTTCAGTCCCAGGCTGGCTCTCCAGAGCCAGGCCTGCCCCGGGAAGGAGTCAAGTACCATCAGTTGTACCCCAGAACACATTCAGCTACAATAGGCCTTTTCCCAGAGAGCAGGAAAACACATCAAACCTTGGTCTCCACAGCTCAGGTGGGGACTGGCAGCTGAAGTTAGGCATCGCACATGGCCAGGACCACCAAAGAACTCTGGTCTTCCAAGCAAAGCAGCACATAGAGCTTGGCTCAGACTTTACTCAGTCTTGGCCCTGCTGTGAGCATAAGGAGCATGGGACCCCCTCTGGGAGGAGCCTCTGCAAAGCCAACCCAGCCCAGGAGCTGTGTGGCCAGGATTCACCCACTGCCCACAGATAGCCTGCATCTCAGGCTCTGTGTCCAGGGAAGGGCCCTGTGGTCACTTCCCGCTGGCTCTCTTCTGTACTGCAGGCTCCACCAATGCCTGATGCTGAAGCTGCTGGAGTAGCTCTTCCACATAGACCTTGAACAGAGGGACAGGGTCCTAGAAAGGGAGGGTTACAGTGAGACTCATGCAACCCAGAGCCTAGCCTATGTCACATAGGCTGCTTGCCACCTTCTGACCCCCATCCTAGAAGGCAGAGGCCTGTCCTCTCCCTTGGAGAGGCAGGAGTCACATGCCTGACTCCAGCTTTCTTTTTTTTTTTGAGATGGAGCCTCAAGCTATCCCCTTGGGTAGAGTGCCGTGGCTTCACAGCTCACAGCAACCTCCAACTCCTGGGCTCAAGCGAGTCTCCTGCCTCAGCCTCCCGAGTAGCTGGGACCACAGGTGCCCGCCACAACGCCTGGCCATTTTTTCGTTGCAGCTATCATTGTTGTTTGGCGGGTCCGGGCTGGATTCGAACCCGCCACCCTAGGTGTATGTGGCTGGCGCCTTAGCCACTTGAGCCACAGGTGCCGAGCCGACTCCAGCTTTCTTGCAGTCAAAGATAAACTCAGCAAAAGGAGAAGGCAGCCACTATATGCTCCAGATCCTCCCAGGGAACAGACACAAAAAGGAAGACTCTGGAGATGCTGAGTGCTCCAGTGAACCCACAGTGCCAGGATCCCACTCTTCCTATAAGGGTCTTAGGGCAGGAGAACGTAGAAATGTAGACAAGATGGAGTGCATCATGCTCCCCTAGCTGGGCTGAATGGCAAGTATCATGGCAGCTGCTCTCTATGCCCACCTAGTTTAGCTAGTAGTCACACACTTACCTTCTCCTCCAGAAGCCTCTGCTTCTCCACAGCCTCCTCTAGCGTCAGCCCAACCCACTCTGCCTCTGCTTCTGGTATGGCAAACTCCTGGGCAGACAGAGGCAGAAAGCACAGTGAAGCCCAAAGCTGGTCCAGAGAAGGGTGTTGGGAGGATGCAGGACAGGAACACAGGCTAAAGCCCTCACCTTGTATTTGTCATAGATGGCTGCCCTCTGCTCAGGGTCATCCGGGTGTAACTGGGGGTCCTGTCGGGCAAGTCTTAGCAGCATTCCTCGCTTCAGGTCCATCCCAAACTTGGAGCATAGGTCCTCCTTTGAGGTCTGGCAATAGGCTCACATGGGACCAGGTGCTGACAACAGGGCACCGCCTACCCTGATAGCCAGCCCCCAAGCCAGGCATGGGGATCACAATAGAAGCAAGTCCAAGAGCAGGGAAGGAAGCGGCTATGCTCACTCTAGGACCAAGGGCAAGCCAGTCAGCCACCCACAATGATGGACTCTCCTGCAGCAAGAAGTCACCACAGGGGCTGCCCCAAAAAGGGCACAATCCTAGGCTACAGACAGTGGCACATGCCTGTAATTTTATCACTTTGGGAGGTCAAAGTGGGTGGATTGTCTAAGCTCAGGAGTTCAAGACCAGACTGAGCAAGAGTGAGACCCCACCATGTCTCTACTAGAAATAAGGAAGAAAAAAAATTGGGGCATTGTGGCTTACGTCTGTAGTCTCAATTACTCGGGAGGCTGAGGCAAAAGGACCTCTTGGCCCCAAGAGATTGAGGCTGCTGTGAGCTATGATGCCATGGCTCTCTACCCAAGGTGATAGAGTGGCTCCGTCTCAAAAAAAAAAAAAAAAAAAGGCATGACCCTGTTTACATATTGCTATGACCCTCCACTCTAAACACCAGCATATCCCAATGTGGCACTGTGCTGAGGCTCCCTTGAATCTGAATGCTTGTGAAACATCTGCACGCTGACCCCCACCCCTGCCCGGCTTGCCTTAAGGATGTAGAAGTCAAACCCATAGGCCTCATCGATGAGATCCAGGGTTCGCATGGTCACAGTCACCGTGAACTTCTTGTCCAGGATCTCACTGTAAAGCTCTCGCTGAAACAACTGTGGCTTCCACACCTTCTTCACCCTCCTCGAGAGCTGAAGGTGCAAGAGAGAGAGACTCCATGAGTACTGCTGTGTCTCCCTAAAGAGCAGGTGGGGCCCAAGGTACCTTCCTGGTAGGGTCAGGCCTATGGGGTCCCCATTTGCCCTTATGCGTCCCTGGGAGAGCCTCCCCAGCCTGGTGCAGCCCAAGCCCTCAGCCCTGGACCTGGCTGTGCACCTAGAGCTAGCTTCTGCCTTGCTGGCTCAGCAACCCCAAACTTTGCCTCCAGGTTGCTAATGTGTGTTCCAGATGCACACACAACTGTAACACCAGGTCTCACAGGCTCAGGTGGTCACATTCCAAGGGGCCACAGGCAAAGAGAGACCAGCCTGGGAGGCCTCAAACAAATCTCCCCCTGAAGGTTCAGCAGTCTCCTTCAGACCTCCCACCAAAAGCAGTCTCAGTAGCCTTGCCCTTTGCAAACTGCCTGACCCTGAGTAGTGGCTTTCCTAAGTAGAGGAAGGAGCAAGGAAGGCCTCGTGGGTGCCACCGATATTAGGCAAACTCTGGCAAGTCCTACCCCCTCCCCAACGCACACGCCTCCTCCCCAGGGCCTTTACACACTCTGTTCCCCCGATATGGATCGCCAGTCTCAGGACAGTTCGCCAGCTTTACCAGAACGCAGGGGTCCGCCTGTCAGCACCCTTCACTGACAGAGCTCGTCCCACGAGATGCAGGCAGCCAAGGCCCGCGAGCGCCCTGCGTACCTCCGCAGCCCTGCGCGGAGCCCACCTTGTCGTTGTTGGCGTATTTGTAGCCCAAGATCCAGCCCTCGCCGCCCCACAGTCCCTGCTGGGACTCCGGGGGGAAGTAGATGGGAATGGGCACGTCCTCTACGCGCTCCCGCTGCCCGTTCTTGGGATTGACTCTGAACTTGGCCCCGTGCGGCCTATAGTGCACAGGCGCCGGCATCCGCGTCGGCTCCAGCGACCGCAGGTAGTGCCCAGGCAGGCGCGCGCAGATGCCCTGCTGCAGCCGCAGCCGCCTCCACAGGCAGACGGGGAACTTGTGCAGCGGCATCGCGCAGGCTTGCAGAGGCAGGGATTACCGTGCCGGACTTACAGCACCGCCACCCTGAACTCCGCGCCAACCGGAACCGGAAATCACTCAGGCTAGCCCTGTCCTCTCCCTGCGGCTAACTGGCTGCAAAGCCCGTCCGTCTACCCCTTGTTCCTCCCCCTTTTAGTCTTTATGGACTGTGGACAAGACCTTGTGGAGGTAGTAGTGGCAACTCAGATCACCATCAGCAGCGCGCTGCTCGGGCGCAGTGGGGTTTGTTATCCTGGGCCCCATCTCCCCTAGTTTAGCTTGAAAAATCAGTGCTGAATATAAAATTCACCAGTCACAGAGAAATCAGATCTACATAAAAATATATCTTAAAACGTTTTACCCATACATACATGTTTCCCCTTTACAAGACTAGAGATTGCTTTGGTGGCCAAAGGCAGGGTGGCTAAGTGTGAAGGGAGCCTTCCAGAGAGGAAGGCCACATCCTGGCCAGGAAAAAGTAGTCCCCAAAGCTGAGGGGAGGACTCCACTCAGCCGGCAGCCCCTTTCTCCAAGAGCCAGAGCAAAGGGGAGGGCAGTGGACACCAGCCTCTCTCCATGGCTACTGCAGCAGCAGGGGAGTTCTGTGTTCAAGACAGGCTGGCATTTGAGGTGATAGTACCAGGAGGGCACAGCTCTCAGCCTCAGAGGTGGGCTCAGGCCTTCTAGTCCTGTGGATCTCATATCATAGCCTCACAGAGAAGCAGAGCAGTGAGGATTCTTTATCCATATCCCTAACCAACCACAGGTCAGCAGAAGAGAACCCCACATTGCACAGGACACCTGGGGCCACCATAGACAGCAGCTGACCAGTCAGCCAGCGTGCCTCTGCTGGGGAGGAGGAAGGAAGAGGGTGCTAAGGCTAATTTTATTCAGCTGGATATCGATTGGAAGGGGGCTGAACAGGGGTCCTGAACAGGGATCCTCTGCATGACCCTGCTCCTGGCTGAAGAGGTCAGCAGAGAGCAGGGGTTCCTGAGCTGGCATCATGTCACTGTGTAGAGCTCGTCCCGATCGTTCCTGCAAATCTGATAGTGGCAGGGGAGCCTCTGCCAGCAGGTCCAGGGCTCTGTGTGCTTCTCCCGTGGTGGCAACAGTAACGCCGCACTCCCTGCCAACAGCATGTGCCAGATGCTGTGGGTGTAGTAATAGTTGTCAGCGGTCATTAAGGAAATGTAGATGGCGATGCCTGCAGTGGCCATGGAGATGCCAGGCAGGAGGTAGAAGACCCAGCGCTGCCATGAACTGGGGTAGCACTGATGCCGGTGCCCACAGCGGTACACCTGGAGAGAACAGCCGAGCAGGTGTCAGCATAGGTGGGGTGCAGCTGCAGCTCCCAAGGGCCCAGGGCCAGTGGTCACTGGGAGGCCCACTCAAGTCTAGGCAGCAGAATCATGAGGGTGAGCTGTTTCAAGGGGGCTTGAGGACACAAGGCCTCCGATCCTCAGCCCCAGGCCTCAGACACATAGCTGTGCCAGGCCCCTATGGATACCACTAGCAACCCCTAGCAGATGTGGGACATTCAGGGGTCACAGGAGTAGGACTGTGGTCAAAACAAGGGGCCAGGCCTGGGCACCTGCCTGCCCCAGCTCCTTACCCACATAGAGGCCATGATCACAAAGGCAAAGAGGCAGGGCCCTATAATGTTCCAGGCCCCCCAGCGGTCCAGCTGCAAGGACATAGCGATGACCAGTGTGCCCAGGAGAAACAGAACCTGTGCAAGACACGGGATGAGTGCAAGGTCATGGGAGCCCTGGGCTAAGTCACTTGTGGTGGCATAGATACACCAGGAGCAGGTGGCTGGGGCAGGCTGTACCCCATGGCCTCCACAGCACCTCTGCCTACCCTCAGAGCTGCTGATACTCTGACCAAGCCTGCCCTTCCTCCAGTTGCTGTGCTGCACACATAGGTGCATGTGGCCTTGGACTTTTTGTTGTTGTTTTGCAGTTTTTTGGCCGGAGTCAGGCTTGAACCCGCCACCCCCGGTATATGGGACTGGTGCCCTACTCCTTGAGCCACAGGCCCAACCTTAGAATTTCTGAGGCACAGGCATGGCAAGGCAGGGACCTCTGGGGGACAGGAAGATGGTACCCCTCCCTAAGGTAGGACACTGTCACATAAACTGGACAGCCACATGTGGTGGCTCTGTGTCCACACGCGGTGGCTCTGTGCCAACATGCTCGACTGCCCTTGCACCTTGGGTTTCTAGAGGTCTTCCAGCAAGGCAGCCTCAGTCTCTGCTCAGCAAGGCAGCCTCAGTCTCTTCCCACCTGCTGCTCTGTGGGAAGAGGCTGCTATCCCATGTCTTCTGCAGACACTTCTGCCCACAACCTGCAGTTCTCTTCCTCTCAGCAAGTTCATGTTCCCAGCACTAGTGCAGCAGGACTCTGATGCTTCCAAACCTCTTCTCCACACCCCTAGCCTTAACTACAGGGCTCCTATGGGCCCCTCAGGGCAGCACCCAAACTTGCAGTTCCCAGAGCAGACCCAGGGAAAACAGAGGATGTAGCTCACAGGCACCAGCATACTAATCTCTCTCCACCAGGACTGGCTGCCCCAGAAAGTCCTGTGTTCCTGGCATCAGAGACCCGAGCAGTACAGTGAGTGGCTTCTCAGGAGGCCTGGGCTCCAGGGCCCTCTCAGAATCAGGCCCTGGGAGAAGGTCTGTCAGCTTTGCCTAACCCCACACACTACCTTCCTTCCCAGTATACCCCAAAATAGCCAGCACTGTTTTGTCACAACTGCCTCTGGCTCCTTCTGAAGGCAGCCAGCTATCATGCCAGAAGCTAAGGGTAGCAGCCCAAGCTCCTTGCAGTCTCTTCTTCCATACTGCTTTGTGCATGCTGCACTTGAGGGCTTCTGCTAGCCTAGAGCCCAGACCCTAGTGTTGAAGGCTAAACTTACATGTTTCAGGACAGTCTTCAGCCGTGCCATGCAGAGGATGGTGACCCAGATGGATACCCCAGAGCCCAGGAAGTCACAGTACTGCAGTGTGTCATAGTTGAGGATGCAGAGCACTGCTTTGCCTGGCTGGTCACAGGCATGGTAGAACTGTGGTGGGGGAGGGCTGTGAGAGCAGGCCCAGGCCTCTTGCCCAGGGTCCCTGTGGGCAAGCCCTGGCCTACCGTGGAGAAGAACATGGTGTACGCATAGACAGAGGCCTCCACAAGGAAGAAGCGGTGTACACAGATGGCAATGGGAGCCAGGAACATGAGGTTGCTGAGTGTCAGCAGCAGTGCAGCTGCCCTCTGCTGTGCCACGGTCTGGGCAGTGCTGTTGTCAGTACAGCTCCACCCACGCCAGCCTGGGGGCCATATAACACTCAGGGCTGAGGCTGGGTCATGGGGCCAAGCTGGGAGGATATGAACCTCAGAGCTCATCCCTCACCTGGGGCCCCATGGAGAACCCCTTTCCACACCTAGGACCAAGCTAAGCTGGAAGGGACAGAAGAGGCCAGGAGGAGGCAATATCACCTCCAGGGATACCTGGAGGAGTTGGGAGGAGGTATCTGCCCCTGTTTTGCCCTGTAGGGTGCTCTCTCCAGCCCTCCTGGAGTTTCCCCAGGGGCAATGACTAGGCAGCCCACAGTGACATGTCCCAAGAATGCAGGGCCCTGGCCTTACCTGCCTTGCAGCTGCATCCTGCATAAAGGTAACTATGTCTGCGAAGCAGGAGGCACTGGCCATAGGGGCCACAGTCATTCAAACAGGGCACCAGGTGCAAGGTGGTCTCCACACGGACTACAGCCTCCTCACAGCCCCTTCAAGGAAAGGCCCAGGAAGGCTGGCTGTGGCATTCTTGCCAGTCCACCCCAGGAGCTCCCAATAGGCTAACAGACACATGAACCAAGAATTGGGGACCTCCTCATCCTCCAATGGCCCTGGAGGAAATGACCCTTCCACTGGGTCACTTCCAGACTCTAGCCTCAGGCAGCCCCATCTATAGTCCCACATGCAGTGACCTGGTACTTGCCTTCTGCCATGCCCCTGCCCCAGGTTCACTTACAGTGGACTCTTGAGGCACACCAGCTGCAGGGAGAGGTACCAGTTGTCTGTCTCTGGGTAGGGGATGATGAGGTTGGCCCTGAGGGATGAGGCACTCAGAGACAGGGGGTAGCCCTGGAAGAAGGCTGGGGGGTGCAGGGAGGTCCGTCAGGGGTGGCTGGGGAATGGCTGGAGCACCCTGCCACCACTGCCTGCCCATCACACCTGTGGTACAGTTGTGCGAGGTGTTGAAGCTGAGGAAGGGTGAGGCAGCATTCACACAGGCCACCACCAAGGTGTCGTTTGTAATCTCTGTCTGCAAGGGGAAGTGATACAGGCTCAACACTCTGGAGAGGCAGTCGGGGTGTTTGCCCTACAAGCCTGCTCAGTCTAGTGCTCAGTGCCCTTCTTGGGGGGTCCTGGTGCCCAGGGCCTCAGGCCTGGGAAGCCCTGCCATGAGCTACCTCACATCCTCACAATTGCATAGACCAACTCCTTAGGTACCGCCTGGGGATGTTCTGTAGGGGAGAGTTACTCCACAGATGACCCCTATTCTGGCCCATGCCTGCTGGTGTCACTTTGCTGCCTGAAAGGCTACCTTGACCCAATCTCTGTGCCAAACTGACCACACACAGGCATGGGCAGGTCACCCAATGCCCTGAGCCCAGCCCTGGCCTGGTGTACTGCCAGAACCACAGGTACCTTGTTGGTCCTCAGGGAGATGGTGAGGGAACCCCCACTGTCCATGCCTGTGTTGAGGCGGAGCTGCATCATGGAGGGTGTGTCCAAATGCACTGTCACCAATATCCTGTCCAGGGGCTGGAAGCGCACAGATACCACATCCATGTCCTCTCGAATGATTGGGTAGCTCAAGAGGCAGAAGGGGCCACTGCCCCACCCACTGCTCCTGCCCAGGTCCCGGTGGCAGGGGCTCAGGGACTGCTGTCCAGTGGAGGTGTTGTAGCTCTGGTTTTGTCTGCTTTGCAGAAGGTGGGAGAAGGTCATGCTCCATGGCCTGCAAGCTGTCCAGAAGACAAGTGGCTCAGCTGCAGGAAGGCCTTGGGGCCTGGGAAAGGGCAAAGACACCCCCACCTCTCCCTGTGTAGCCCACCTGTAAGGGCAGCTACAGCACTGAAAGCTACTGCCTCATGAGCCCCTGCCAGGTTCTCAGCCATCACTTGTAGCCACCGGTCCCAGGGCGGTGAGGGCAGCAGCAAGCGGCAGGGCCAGGCGAGGCTGGTGCAGGTGAGCACCTTCTGGAAGTTGTTAGGCAGGGTGACTGAGCCCACAGTGAGACGCACGGGACAGCCCAGGCTCCCATTGGATGCACAGCCCTGCAGCTCCAATTGTAGCTCTTGCGTGTACTCAGGGACAAAGATCCTGTAAGAAGGTGGGGTGGTGGTCAAAGGGAGCTGAGCATCTGGACCCACTTCCCGAGTGACCCTGGATCCCACGACTATGGCCTTCTGCCTACTTTGCCAAACCTGAAGGCTACAGGGCACACCCCTACTCACTTGAGGTAGCTGGGGTGGGAGAGGAGAGTCTGTGGAAGAGGCATATCAGGTTCCACGATGGAGATCTTGACCACACGTATGACCAGCATGTCAGGCTGGAAGATGTAGGCACAGGTGGGAACAAAGTCCTAGGGAGAGAACAAGGTGCGGGGGGCAGGTCTGGACCTGATGGAGTGATCTAGCCCAGAGCAAGGATTGCTCCAAGAGGGAACAACGGGCACCAGCTGTTCATGCACCCTGGGCTTCTGCCCTGATCCCTAGAGGGCAGCCCTTACCTTCACCTGGATCTTCTGGGATGACGGGGGCAGATGAGCAGCCACAAACCAGTCCCCAGGTGCTGGGTGGGAGACGTTGACAGTGGTGTTGCTTAGCAACATGGTGCTCAGGGGCATGCTGACATGGAAGGAGGGCTGCACTGAGGTATTATCCGGGAATCTGGTGCCCAGTGGGTTGATGACTGGGGGAGCGCCATAGCGGAAGTACCTAGAGACAGAATAGCAGGGCCCAGGTCAGGGGCAGGGCTGAGGCCAGGCACAGCACATGGGTGGGCGGGCAGCCACCTACACGGTGATCTCCACATCAGTGCATGTGGGGCCGCTGCCCTGTGAAACTTGCAGTAGCCAGCGCAGCAGCACGGTGTCCGAGGGCACGTGGAAGCGGAAGAGCCTGGCGCTGCCATACCAGCTGTAGAAGGACAGCCTCTGCGGGGCCTGTGAGAAGTGCTCAGACACAAGCGCCACATCTGTGGGGAGAGGCACCATCAGCCAGGCCATTGGGAGGCTCCTAGAGGGAGAGGGCTCAGGAAGCCCAGATGGACTAACTTGGGGCCCCTGACATGTCAGTCTTGACCTTGGCAAAAGCCGCTGTCCCCTTCCAGCCCCACAGAGGCTATCGTGGGCCAATCAGAAGTTTCCCCTCAGGCTGTCATCACTCAGACTCCTCTCCCAAATGCCCACATCTCACTCCCACCACTGCTCCCCCTCTAGTACCCATTACTCCAGCTGCCTTCAACCTTAAAAAGTCCCCGCTCCCTAGAGCCAGCCCCTACTGCATGGTAGTCAGTCAGCTCCACCCTTGCACTGCAGCCCTGGCACACTCAGGCCAAGGTCAAGGCTGGAGGACATGGGGAAGTCAAGCAGAAGTCCCTACCCCTCCTCACATCTGCCCCAGATGCTGGACACCAGGACACACTCCTTTTCTCTTCCTCTGTGAGCTTCCAGTAGCTGTGAAGGCCCCTCCACTGGACAGGTGAAGAGGCTCAGGTGTGGGGGCTGGTTGCCTGCTCTTACCTGTGAGGACTTGGGACAGGGCCAGACCAGAGCCCAAGTTCTCCCTTAACCAGGGAGAGACTCTAAGTGGGAGACGGGACCCTATGCCGCCAGACCTGGGGACAAGGGGACAGCTGGCCCCTATGCTCAAAATGGGTGAGGCTCCTACCTGCCCTTAGGGTACTCATCCATGCTTCATAGTACAGGGAAAAACAGGAGCCCACATAGGACACACTGCCCAGGGTTCTCAGACCAGGAATCCCCATGGCCTATGACTCTGCCACATTCTCAAGACTTTCAGCACCAGCCCCAGTGTAGTCTCATGCCTGTGTGACCTTGGGCAGCCCTTCTACTCTCTAGGCCCCAGCTTCCTCGTGGGTGGGCCAAAGTGGACAGACAGCACCTCCCTCTGAGGTTAATGAACAGCAAAGCATTTCAGGAAGAAATGTTTTGTGAATATAAAAGGACTTGCCCTCATTCTCCTTTGAGCTGGGTGCTCCCCGCCCAGCCCACCTAGAAGCCTTCCTCTGCCTCAACTGGGAAAGCTCAGACCACCTTGGCAGTAGGCCCAGGCCCCTCCAAGAGAGGGATGAGGGATTGAGGTGAGCACTGAACTCTCTTGCCATCTTCCTCACCCCTCCCATAGTGACACCTAGAGAAAAGGTAACAGCCTGCTGGCAGAGCCAGTCTAAGCTCCAGCCAGAGGAGCAGGGTATGAGTGGCTGGGCAGGGCAGGCTCTAAGCTTGCCAGGTATCTGCTGGTCACCAAGTCCCACCCACTAGGTTGTCACCTGAAGTGCTACAGGCCCTAGGGCAGAACCATAACATGAGCAGGACAGCCCCTAGGACCATGCTGTCCAGCAGAAACAATCAGCCAGCTGGACATCCAGGCTCTGAGAAGGGCAGGCAGGGGAGGAGGTCATCCTACAGTATACAGCTCCCTGACTTGCTGGGGGTAAAGCCCTCAGGCCTCTCTGGTCCTGGAGTATCAGCCTGAGGACACTTGGAATCCTTTGGTGAAGTTTTGGCAAGTATACAAGAGATAAGATCTGCTCAATGTTGCCCTAACACTCACTCCCCAATCCCTAGGGCCACATAGCCCCTCTGGGCCTGTCCAAGGACCCTGCAGCCCAACCACCCTACCCAAGATGCCCACACTGTTATCTAGGTAAACATACTAGGCTGCTAGCATGGTGGTCTGAGCCAAATGTGACATCAGGAGGGGTGAAGAGGGATGGGAACGTGCAACCCTGCCTTGCCCCACACCCCTTCCATGAACATAGGGTTGAGCAGGAAGAGGAGAAGGTCGTGGAGCTTGTCCTGGGAACCCCAGTGAAGGTCCCTTGGCCCCATATCCTCCAGATAGGAACAGGCACCTGCTAGAGACCCTGCCCACCCACAGATCCTGGAAGCCAGGGCCACAAAGCAGCATACCCCTCAGCAGAACTAAGAGGTGGTGAGGGACTGAGCCAAGCTACCCAGGCACCCACACTGCCAGACCTGAGTGTTCCATCTCTACACACTACCCCAACAGTGACCCCCTCACCCGGGGCAGATCACTGGAATGCAGAAAAGGGTGGCAGTATCCAATGGAGCAATTTAATCAGGAGCTCAATCCTCAGGGGGAAATGCCTTTCATTTCAAGCTGTGCCAAGCTCAGAAATCAGAAAGCACAGACCTCAAAAGAAATCTGAGGAGCAATATTTCAGAGAAGGGGGAGCAGCCCCACAGAAGCCAAGGCAATACTGGTTGAGCAGCCTACTGCCCAGGGTCATGACAGCCCTCCCAGCCCGCCACCCCAAAACTAGAGCCTTTGGGGATCCCAGGCTAACATCCCCAGGGTCCAAGGCTTGCTGTCCACCTCAGTCCCTCCCCTTAGTTCTAGCCACTCCCTTGGACCGCAGTCAGGGTGGAGACCCTCTGGGAGCAGAAATGGGAAAGGAGCTCGGACAAGTTCCCACACAAGGGGCCTATTCTTTTCCTCTGGCCCGCCCTGACCAACAGGCTTCTCCGTGGTGGAGCCGGGCCTCCAAGCTCTATTGAAAGTGAACGCTCCTGTGTTGGTGGTCACCAGGAAGGGTGGGGACATGATGCCCAGGGCCCTGCTCCAGAGCCTGAGGAACTTTCCCTTGCTCAGCCCCTCTACCAGACCGGCTGAGGGTCTGGGACCCCACGTGCAGCCGTTCTTCCCAGTGGGCGCTAAGCCGAGTCCCACCTGACCACGCTGGAAAGAGGGAAGGCAGAGAGCGCCTCAAGGGCCAATCAGGTGGAACCAGCTTAGAGGACAGAGCGTAAGCGCAGCTGTCCCTCCCGGCTCCCCTCTGATGCAGGGAGCCCCCAATCTCAACACCAGCGCCGGCGCCGAGTGAGCGCACAGGTGCCCCCAGGTGAGTCACAATCGCGGCCCCGCCTCGCCCCCCGCTCCCGCCACCCGGACTGCGCCGGGTAGTCAGCGCCTGCTCACCACTCTTCCTGCTGTCGCCGGCAGCAGGCGGGGGCCGAGCGAGCAGCAGAAGCAGCAGCACCGGCCCCGCCACTGCTACGGCCACTGCCTCTCCCCGGCTCCCGGTCCCAGCCCGGCCCATCGCTTGGCTCGGCCAGGCGCTACCCGCCCCGCCCCCCCCACCCCCCCCCCCCGCCGCCACCCGGGCAGCCACCGCCGCCTCTGCGGCCGCCGCCGCAGTCTCTGCACCGGGCTCCCATGGCCCGGCTGGTCCCCACCGCCGTCGCCCCGGGCACTTCCGCCTGCGAGGCCCCGCCCCGCGGGGAGCCGGGTCGCCAGGGCGCTAGCGGGAGGGGGCAGAGAACCTGGTCTTAGCGACTGCCGGAGCTGGGTCCCAGGGTTGCGGATGGGTGGGTGCGGGGCAGGACCAGTGGCGCGGGGAGCTGGATCGAAGGTGGGGTATCGGGCGTGCGGGGAGGGGCGCGGGAACCCGGGTCCGAGGGGCGTGGGCGGTGGGAGACCTGATCAAGAAAGAGCGCGTGAGGGAAGAGGATACTAAGGAGAGGATACGCGAATTTATAACCTGGCTCTCAGCGTTTGGGAGACACCGGACAGGAGAGGATGCGGGGTTACGTGGGGCGCATAAGGGTCTCGGGGAGTGGACGAGTCACGCCGGACCGAGGGCAGCGCAGGACGGAGGTGTCACCCACGACCCAGAGTTGCCGGCAGAGCGCGCGACTCAGGGGTCTTGCGGGGCATCAGTTGGAAGATGCGAGGCGGTGGGGAGTGACAGTGCCCCAAACTTCTTCCTGGAGGCGCTGGGAGCTCCGCGGGGCATGTCTCAGCCAACCGGGCCCGCTGGGGTGGGGCAGGTGACTAGGCCGCAGAGAGTTACTAGGGACTGCGGGTGGGAGGGAGCGTTGGCCTCTGGCTGGGATGCAGAGGTTGGACCCAAAGTCCTCATGGCGAGGCAGAGTCCTGCGCTGGTTCCTAACCAGCACTCATGGGCCAGAGCTGTGGCCTCGCGGAGCTTGACTCACCCCAGGCCTGCCCCCCTGCAGCCCCCACTTCATACCGAAGAGCTGCTATGAGTGTGTAAAAACACTTGCACGGTAAAAGTGGCCGGATTAACTCCTCACACTTTACCCTGGAATGGATTCCAAAAAACAGATTAAAGATTTAACCATAAAAAAGGAGCCACAAAAGCGCTACAGGCTAGAAGCTAGAAGAAAATTTGGGGAAGCTTTATCAGAATCAGATAAAGCTTTATCAGAAGCTTTATCATACTTTTCTAAGTATGAAACAAACCCCCAAAGACATTAGAGGCAACACTGAGAAATTTAACTACTGTAAAGGAAAAAGTTTTGTGCAGAGCAAAACTACTTAAGTGAGTTGGGCGGCGCCGGTGGCTCAAAGGAGTCGGGCGCCGGCCCCATATACTGGAGATGGCTGGTTCAAAGCAGGCCCCCGACAAAAACAAAACAAAAAAACCCTACTTAAGTGAGCTTAAAAACGAACCATAAACTGGGGGTGGGGGGTGGTGGAAGAAGAAGCAAGCTTACAAGTAATATCACAAAGGGCTAATCTCAATAAAATTAAATACAAAAGAGCTACGAATCAATACTAACAGAAAATGACCAAAGGATACCTAGCAACTGGATTCCTGAAAGAGATATGCAAATGAACAGTAATGGGCATCAACTTTCCTAGGAAGTGAGATGAAAACTAAACACTTAAATGGCTTTTCTTTCACCTAGTTGGCAAAGATCAAAAAGTTTGATCACACCAAAAGATGAGAGCTGGGGCCCAGAGATGCGTGTGGTAGCCGGTTACCCAGTAAGCATTAGGGTGAGCCTTGTGGGAGGGAGCCTCTGGGCTCCTGAACCAAGATAACAGGAGCACAGCACCTTCAATCCAGTAATGCAACCTCTGGATTTTCCCTGCAGCTATGTCCACGGAAGTGCCTGCTGTTACTCAATACTGCACACGCCTAAAAGTTGTCATTAGCTGACAGGGCATTCAAATTGCAGAGCATTCACACCACGGTTCAAATGCAGCAGTAGCAGGAAGAATGGGAAGCACAATGTACTGAGTGGAAACAGTCATCCAGAGAGCTCATTAGGTGAAAAAAGGAATGGGCAGGTCAGTGTGCTTAGAAAGCTGCTGTTTTTGTAGAAAAGGGAGAAAAATGTGTTTCATTTGTGTGTATCAAAGGCGTAGAATATCTCTGGAAAGATCCAGCAGTTACACCTGTTGACTTTAGGGGAAGGGACCAGTATTGGGGATGGTGGTGGTGTGGACTAGGCCAGTTTTCACCTTTTGAACTTTTTATGGTGGTGGGCAGTGAGGGTTTACAGGAAGAAGAGGAAGCTCACCCCTGCTCCCACCTCCTTCCCAAAGCCCTGGGACACTGAAGGCTAGAGGTGGGGGAGGGAGGGTGTTGGTCTGGGAGGAAGGAAGCCCTGGGTACAAAGTCTTCAGCCACCAGGAGATCCTTTGTTCCTCTAGAATCAAGCCTGGCTGCAGGGGGTTCCCAGGTGGTTCTCAATTTAAAGGAACAAAGGTCAGAACCTGGATTTTGCTGAGGCGTGATTTTAGGCCACTGCTCTGCCCCCACTGAACAACTGGCTGGAGTCATACAGGGGACAGCAGCTGCAGTCAGCAGCATTGGGACTGTTCCATCCAGGTCTACTTCCTGCCCCAGGCTGAGCTCAGACCCCATATACACACATACTGCCATACCCCTCCTAGACTGTGTCACCTTAGGTTTTTGTGCTGAAGTTCCCCGCTGGGGAGGAAGGAAGGTAGCAGACCCTCTCTTCCTGTGCTCCGTAGGAAGGCTGGTAAAATGGACAAGAAACCTGGGACTGAGGTCCAGGGGGTCTCTGCTAGGTAGCAGAGCTTCAGCCCTGGGAAGAAAACTATGACATGAAATACTGCTCAATCAGTGGTCTGGGACATAGATTAAAACTAAGCAGCCCGATTGGCCCTCTCAGGCAGCTGGGGCTTCAGGCTCCAGCCATATACACCTGAGCTGGCAGGTTCGAATCCAGACTGGACCCGCCAAACAACAATGACAGCTGCAACCAAAAAATAGCTGGGCATTGTGGCAGGCACCT